CCAAAGATATAAGGTGGTTAGGGTTCTTGGGAAGGAGGTTTCATAGTAGGCTTCTGGCATGAAGAAATGAAGCATCTTGTAACATTATTAAAAAAATTTTAAGAATGCTATTGGAATGCATAGGTGTGAGTGCATGCAAATACAGAAGTGGTGAGGTTTGATAGCACTGTCTTTTTCTTAATTTTATTAGAAATGCTTTATGGTTCATACGTTGTGTCTTCCATTGAGAACCCATTACGAAGCTAATTCCACGCAATCATGCAAATTTTAGATTTTATTTTATGTTTTATAGGATTTTTATGGTATGTTTGACAGTGACTTCTGTTTGAGCCCCATCCTTCATAAAAAAATAAAAACAAAAAACAAAACAAAACAAAAATTTTGACTTTTGCAAGAGTTTTTTTTTTTTTTTTTTTTTTTTGGGGGGGGGGCGTGGTGGGGTGGGAAAGATGTGTGGGTTTTTGTAGGAAGAAGTGTAATTGAAAATGAATACAATGAAATATTTCATATAATTTAATCATTAATATATAAACTACTAAAAGCATTAGATGATCAATATGGACTAAAGTGGGTTGAAATGTTCAAACTAGACATGATGAACAAACAAGCCATATGGATACAAGGGAAAATTTTATAGCTTAGAAGTTAAGTATCTCCATTTCGAAAATAAGAACAAAGGTTTCAAATTTCAAAATCAGATACTTATTATTTATAATTTAATTAAATAATTAATTATTTTATTAGTTCAAGGGAAAAATTTATAGCTAAGAAGTTAAGTATCATTCATTTCAAAAATAAGAACAAAGGTTTCAAATTTCAAAAATCAGATACTTATTAAAATTTATTTATGATTTAATTAATTATATATTTTATTAGTTCAATATATATAAAAGCCACAAATCTATATAATTTGGCTACAAATGAACAATTTAGTTAACTACATATTATTTTTCGATCACAAATCATAATTTTTATATGCCACAAATTATTATACGGTCACAATTCAAAAATTTTATAGGTCACAAATTGTTCATCAATCACAAATTAAAAATTTATACGTCACAAATCACAAATATTATAAGTCGCAACTTATTAAGACACTCACAAATTAGTAAATTATCGATCACGAAATAACAATTTTTTAAAGTCACGCATTAATTTTTTGTCATAATTTATCTTTTTCATTGGTCATATATTGTTTATTAATCACAGATTAACTAATTTAATGAACCAAATAATGTGTGACCACCAACAACACTTGCAACCACCATCTCACAACTGCCTCCAATGGTGCCACTACGATGCGTCACCGCCAAAACCACCACTTCTTGACAGCAACACCACCACCTCAAACAAATCAACACATCACAGAAAAACACCATCACATTGTTGCGCCAAATCCACAGCTACCCAACAAACCCATCGCCACCGACATCTCACCATCTCACTGCCACAACCATCATCTTGACCGCCTCGCCATCGCTAAAATATGGAAGCTGCTACCACCACCACTCTAACAAATAAAACTAATGCCTCATCGCCATCAACCACCTATACCACCACCACACCACAACTGCCAAACCCACCACCATCACTACAATTGCATAGATCCGTCGCCACCACCCAAACACCACCAAAAAAAGATCCAAAATTATCAAATCAACCACCATGGCCACACCCACAATCGCCTGCTTTAACAACCATCTCCACATTCATTTACAACTCCAATCAACCACCACCACTGCCTAATAGAATTCACCATCTCATGCAATGCTACTACACTACAGCGACCACCCCACCAACAATACCCCAAACCTACAACAATCACCAACATTTTGTGGTGGATTCTCCGATCAACTGCTTTACCAAAGTTCTTGACAACGCTCAGAGATGTAGCTTGTGAGTGTTGCAAACAGCTGCATAGTGTCGTAGTAGTGTGGTGTCACTGTGAGTCATGCACAACGACTGACAAAGGCCGCTTCGCATGACCGTAATGCAGCGTGCTGTCGTAGTTGACAAATGAAGAATGGAGGAGGAAGAGGAGAGCAAAGACAATGGTGGCACATGGTGAAGATGATGGATACTGTTTGCTTCTTGAAGCAGTGACATGCGGCTATGTCATGGACAAAGAGAATGGAGAAAGTGAGGAGGGAGATGGGAATGAGACGGTGAAGAGGATGAAAATTTTAGGTTTAAAATCGCTAGAGAGAGGGGAGAGAGTGTAAAGACTAGAGAGAGAAATTTAGGTTTGAGAATGAGGTGGAGTGGATATCTATCTTAATTAATATTATTTTATAATATTAAAAGATGAATAAGTATATGAGTTTTTATAAAATTCTTTACATCTATTTTCTGAATTGTGCTCCTTAAAATTCTGTATAGGTGTAATTTCAACTAGACACGATAGGAAAAAAACTTTTATGAAAATTTATTAAAATAATTTTTAATTAAAACAAACAAGACTAAGCTGCAGTTTGACAATTATTATTTGGAAATGTTTTTTTACATACTCATTTTTAACTATATATTCACACAATAAAATATTCTAGACGTAAAACCAAAATTTTCCTTTACTTTGAACCTCACATTCTCTTAAAAATCATTATTCAAAACATTTTTTTTTTTAACAAATAAGAATTGTCAAACAAGGGCTACATATTGAAAAGTGCGGAGTGAGAGTAGGCTAAATTTCAAATTGGAATTTATTAAAACAAATTTGAACTTGGATAATAGGGAAAAAAATATTCATATTTAAATATGTACAATAAAAATTGGGCTCAAGGCAGGTACAACCGACAAAGACAACCCCAATTATGGCGTTATATACCCCTAAATATTGGAAGACCAAACCTCGAAAAATAAAATTAACATTAACAATAAATTCCTGTCTTGTCCACATTTTTTTATTTATTATTATTTTATTTTTTTTACAATAATCAATTTTTATTAACAATTATGAAAAATAATTTGTATTTTACAATATCTTTGACGAGAAATTATGACCCAAAAAAAAAAAATATAACATCCCTCAACATTCATACTTTATCTTTTAACAAAATAATTTTGCCCGTTTGGATGTATTTTTGAGCCACTATTTTTATTTTAAAAATTGATTTTTAAAGTCACAAATTATGCTAAAAATCTGATTTCTAGCAAGATCAAAGAGAGACTAAATTTTATTTGGAATGAACTGAGCTCAAATGCATGAATCCATTTTTGTTTCTCAGTCTTACAAGAGTTTTTTGATATAAAAAGACGAAAAAATTTCCGATGTTTAGTTCTAGAGTAACTTCACCGTAACCCAGAAATGATACGAAAAGCATTTTTATGAAACTAAAATAAAGCATACAATCTTCATTATGAATCTAGCCCATTAGAACATAGAATTAGCAAATTCAGATACTTCTGACGCAACCTGATTGTAATTTCCCTTCAACTTTTCTTATTCCTCCTGGGCAATTTCCACCTTGGTGGGCTTGGTTGGCAGCAGAACACAGCAAGTTGGTCTCTTTGTGGCTCCTGCATTGGCAAGATCCTGAACCGAGCAGGTTGTCACGTTATAAGCAGTCAAACTTTTTCATGTCTAGTTCGTTGTTAGAGCATGTATGTGCAGGCTTTAAAATGTAAAATTTACTTGTAGTGAAGCAACGGGTGGATAACTTAAAAAAAAGTTACTTGATTTGAACTATCAAAATAAGTAACTTAATTTCAACTTTTACGCATATAAAGTTATTATTTTTTTTCCAGAATGGGAATACACTTGCGCATTACTGCAATCTTCATTACTAAATGAATATGCAGAGTTCCACATGTTTCAAAATTTAAAATGTCTGAATTTTCAGTATGACTGAAATTAAAATGACCACCGCATAAGCAGAGTTCAAATCTAGGAGATATACTTTAATTTTATGCAATAATTCTAATAAACCTCACACGCCAATTGCAAAAGAGAGGCAATATCTTTGAAATCGTTACTTACAATATGTTATTACATAGTGCGATCTTTTTAAATAATGATTTTTAGAAGTTCAAACATGCTCCCACTACCTACCTATGGCCTATTTTCACCATCTAACTTACAAAAAATTTTACAAAGTGGGAGAGGTTTTGTGATTTTGGGATGGAATATTTGAGGAAAGTGACGCAGGTTGTAATTAGAGATGACATCAAGTCAATCGATCTAGTTACTTCAAGAATCAAAATCATCCATTAAACTTAGATACTTTATAAATGAAACCATTTAGCCTTCTGCTACATTATTTTTCTACAGTATTCATTTTTAACAGTATTCATCATTAAAATAATATTATACATAAATAAAAAAATTCCTTCTTTTTAACTACCCATTTACTATTTCATAATATATTTTTTGAAATTAAAGGGGCATATACCTTTAGTTTCATGTAATTTTGGAACCTAATCGAAATTGGAAACGTCAATTCTTGTTCGAAAAGTTCTGTTGCAAAATAACGGAGAAAACAAATGGCATTCAGACTAGTATCTCTGCGGAATTTATTATTAGTAATTTAAATCTGTGAATGTTCTCGATCGGAATATTTCAAGGATGGAATCACCCATTAAACTTCATGTACCATATAAATAAAACTATTCAATTCAAAGTAATTTTTAAAATCTACTCAAAATCGATAATTTTAATTTCGATTAAAATGCCCACTGGCCACTCCTAATTATAATTAATTTTATAAAACTAATTTTTCAAATGAAGCAAGCTCAAATTCGAGGAACTGTCATTTATCAGTCTAGTTTCGAAAAGCAGCCTAAAAATAGAAAAATTTCATGATTTCTGAATAAATTGTTTATAATTTTAAAATTAATTTAAAAATTAAAAATTAAAAACTATATATTGTTAAATATAGGAAACGGTTTCAAGATTCTAAATTAAGATCCAAAAAAAAATGAATAGATCCCAAATCTTGACCACATAGAAATAACCGTCTATAGAATATTAACCAACCAATTTCCCTATAAATAATAATGTTGAGTTGGTACAAAACACAAAAAAGAAATACTTTGATCTTTCTAATCAACAATATCCAAAAAGAAAGTATGGCAAAATTTATTCAAGTTTCAATTCTCTTCGTTGTAGCTTTATACTTCTTGTCCTTCCCCAACATCATCTACTCAGAAGACATTCCCCAACCTCCGGTTTCTCAATTTCACATTCAGGGACAAGTTTATTGTGATACATGTCGTGCTGGATTCATTACTGAACTTAGCGAATTCATCCCAGGTATATAATTATAATTTGTACAAAATGCTATTCATATTATATATTTTTTCCAAGTTATTCAACAAAAAAAAAAGGGCTACTCAAGTAGAATTTTTTATTTCCACATTTGTAAAATTCGGGTAAAACCTAAATTTGTTGCTTCAATTGTTCCTAAACTTCCTTATCTAACTATTTATGAGATAGTTCAGCATGCTAGTAGAGATCGAGCATGTAGCATTGCAGTCACTTGTTTAAAATTAATTGTGCACGAGCCTAAACACAGGAAAAAACATGTCAAGAACTAAATATAAGGGTTGTTTAAATTTCATATCACATATCATTTCTCTTTCATTCTACAACATGGGCATGTAATAATAACGATACACACTTTATCTTAATACTCCAATGAAATGAGTGCTTGGTTATAAGAATTCCTTTGTTGTGCATTCATTCATCTTCTTGGCGATGGTGTATGTATAGTTGAGGAAAATGATTATAATAGATATAATCCATAATTTATACCTTGAATCTCAACTTGTAGGTGCCAGTGTACGCCTCCAATGCAGAGAGAAGAAGAATGGAGACATAACATTTACTGAGGTGGGTTATACGAGAGCAGAAGGACTCTATAGCATGCTCGTGGAACGTGATCACAAGAATGAGTTCTGTGAAATCACATTGATTTCAAGTGGCAGAAAGGATTGTAATGAAATTCCTACTGAAGGATGGGAAAAACCATCATTGAAATTTATACTCAATACTGTAAATGGCACCACACGCACCGTAAATCCTCTTGGATTCTTCAAAATAGAAGCTCTTCCAAAATGTGCACAGGTTTATAATAAGCTGGGTATGTATCCCCCAAATATGTGAAGATCAAAAAGAAGACGTTAATTTATTACAAGAACCATAGTTTCCACACTTTATTGTAGCTGAATAATTATGTGGCCTTTTTGTCAAAGCTTTTTATGGCCTAACTAGAGTGCCTTGTAGTATAGAATAATTTTGCTTTGTAATTGATGTAAGTTCCCAAGAATTACCTTGTGAAAAGACAATAAAGTTTATCGATTATGAGATAAACAATAAATGTAATATAATATGATTTTCTTCTATTATTTGATGTAGCCTACCATTTATTTATTAGGAGGGCAAAACTGCTTTTCCTTTATCAAGGCAATCAGCACCTTTTTATTTCCGTACAAGATTCCCATTCCACATGATTTTAATATGGTATTAACTAGAAATAGTCTACCTACACTATTTCAGTTAATTAAAGTAAAATTTATGTAGGTTCGAATATTTTTTCCGGAGTTATTATCACTATACTTTATGTTTCAGTTTATATTTTGTTTGTCGTGTTCTCTATGACGAACTTCTAATTGCACCATGGCCCTTTACTTGGCTCCTGTTCAATTTAAATGAAATAAATAAGTAGACTTTATAAAAGTTGATGAAATATATAGTTGAAAAGTTGTGGATTCCGTAAAATGTGTGGTTAAAATTAATTGCTGACTTTGACTTATTGATTGTGCTTTTTTATATTGCTTCTGAATGATTTATTTTTGTAGTGGGTTGAAAATATATTTTGGTAAATGCATACCAATGCTAAAAATAGTGGCATTTTAGCTTTAGTTTTGTTTATTGTGTACTTCCATTTTGAATCTAATTTGAGGCATATTTTAAGCCTTAACATTCACTTATTATCATTAATTTTATAATATTGAATTGTAGCATTATACATATTGAATTTGTAAAATGAAATGGATATACGAAAGTGAAAATAGATATTCTTTTCTTTGTTATTAACATATTTTTGTACAAAAACACGTTTTGGACAATCAACTTAACAAATACCATAAAATAAGAACCTAAAAACCCCAGAAGAAGAAGAAGAAGATTACCGTCTATCAAATATTGGTCACTATATTCAAGGTTCTTTCCCCAATCTGTGTATAATAAGTGCGCTCACTTTTTCCCATCTACGAAATGGAATACTGTGATTACAAGTCATGTGCATCCATTTTCTTCATGTATTGGAAAATATGAAAATGTTGAGTGATTTTATTTCTTGGAACTTAATATACTATGTAATAGCTTATTCTGTACATGTGCATCGCTGGAACTGAAAAGGATTAGGATTTAATGTTTTTTTCAATTGTTTTGCTCAGGGGAAAATTCAAAGTTCTTTAGCATACGCCTTCATCATAGTGGAATTTTATTTTGATAGATGAGAAATTTTATGTACGAGCATGGGAAAATTAGCTATTTAAACTGTGTCAAACCTAATTTCTTCAATAGATTTCTTTAGTCCAATGCTATGAGGATGTTGGGATATTCTAATAGAATCGGATATCTGTACAAAACAAAAGAAGAAAAGATTGAGTTAAGCATCATTCTGGTTGGTTAAAGATTCAAATTTCATGAATGTAGTAAAGTTGCCTGGTGATGATAGGATGGCTGAATTATATTGCTTGCCTATAGTTGAGGTTTTGGAGTTTCCATTGGATGAAATAGAATATAAGTATGTTTATTTGGTTGACTATGAAGAGTTGGTCAAGGTTCGAAAGTTTGAAGTACATGATGAATTAGTGGATGAGAACTAACGATGATACGCTTTTGAGATTTATGATTAATCATTAGAAGGTGATGACTTGTACATAGTTGATAAAGTAGATGACATGGAAGCCGATGAAAAGCTAGTTATCTTTGGAGAAAATGATGGAAAATTTGAGATGGATATTGAATTACAAGATGATGTTTAAGGGGCTACGTTGAATAGAATAGAAATTGATCCTGCTAAAACTGATAAATTGAAGATGCAGAGTTTGAGAAAACAAAGGTTGATTTAATAGTGTTGAACCAGTGGTCAGGGTAAATTTTGATAGTGGTTTTGAAGCAGACTTATATGAGGTACAATATAAGATTCAGGAATATGAGGTGCAAGCTGCTGATTCTGAGGTACAGGTTGGTGAAAATGATGTAAAGTATGATGAAAATTAGGTACAACAAAGTGAAACTGGTGTGGAGCATATTGAACCATGTATTGAGGTACAGACTGGTGAATTTAAGGTGCAACATGGTGTACCATAGGTGCATAATGGTGAATCTGAGGTGAAACATGGTGGATCTGATGTGCAGGTTGGTGGATCTAGGGTGCATGACGGTGGATCAAAACAATTTGAGGCTAACTTCACTGCAAATATAGATACTACTGAATGTGAAATTGAATCACATATTCAGATGGACACTAATCATCCTGTTGAGCAAGAAGACCATGTAGATGATATGTGAGTAGATTCTACAGATCCTAAGCAAGATGATAAATATGAAGAGGTTGTTTTGGAGAAATTCAATATTCAGAGTATAAGCAGGAAGAAAATATTATCAAGGATGGTAATGATGAAAAACATAGATTTTAGGTTAAGTGAAGGTTTTAATATTGGTATTGATAGTGTGAGAGTGAGAAGGGAGGTGAGGCAGTTCCTCAAGAAGAAGCCTGAACAAATTATGAAAACTCAGATGAGCTTAGAAAGTTACCCAATGACAATGAGGTTGACGAATCATCTACCAAAAGGATAAATGAGTGCTAGTTTGACCCTGCAACTAATATGGATGATCCAAAGTTCAAGATAGGTAATACATTTTAATATATACACTATTTTGTTGTTCGAAAATATATATGACAATATGCTATGTTCTTTCTTATAGAGATGAAATTCGACAATGTCAAGACTCTAAGGTCTGCAATAGTTCAGTACTCTGTAAGAAATTCTAGGCAACTCAAATATGTGAAAAACATAAGGACACAATTGAAAGTTGGATGTTAAGATGACTGGCCCTAGGTGATATGCCTACCAACAACCAGACATGAGGCTTAGAATTAACACATTATAAGATGAGTAAACATATACTATAGTGTGGCAAAATAAAAAGGTTAATGTAGGTTATTTGGCAAAAAAAAATAATACATAAGAAAGCTTAGGTCTGATCCCAAAATATGAATGAGCATTTTTATGGAAACTATGAAAGATAACTGCATGTATGAGATTTCAAAGCATCAGTTCTACAAGACAAGATCTAAATGTGTAGAAGCAATGCATGGGATTGTTGCTCAGTAGTACAAAATTTTATGGAACTATGGTTGGGAATTAAAGATAACAAATCCCTGTAGCACAGTGCAGATTGAATGTTCAAGGTATACTTTTAAGAGATTACAAATATGTTTAGAGGCATGTAAGGAAGGGTTTAAGGCTGGCTACAGGCCGATTATTAGGTTGGATAGTTGTTACAAAAATATACAAAAGTTGGGCAGTTGCTGGTAGATATTGGCAATGATAGTGAGAACTACATGTTTCTCATTGCACAGGCAGTTGTAGATGCTGAGAACAAAACAAATTGACAATGGTTCGTAGAGTTGTTGGTTGATGACATAGGGATGTATAAACCTAGAGCTTGGACATTCATTTTTGATAAACAAAAGGGTTGTAAGCACAAGTATTTTGCTTCAACCCTATAGAAAATTTACCTTGGCACACAAAATTCTGACCCTTAATAACTTATTTTGGGCTGCAGCAAGGGCAATAACAGTGCCAAAGTGGAGGAGAGCAATGAATGAGTTGAAAGATGTTAATGAAGTAGCTTACAAGTCGTTCAATGAAAAAACACCTTCCCAATGAAGCAGATCACACTTTGTAGAGCATTCCAAGTGTAATATCCTTTTAAATAGCTTATATGAGGCATCCATTTTCTCCATTTTTGTTGCCAAAGAAAAGACCATCATCCCAATACTGGAGAAAATCAGGCATCAACAAATGATAAGAATAAATGCAAAAAGGAAATCAGTACAGATGTACGATTATGCATCTGGGTCAAGAGTTATGAAAATCATTGAGAAGACAAAGTCGGAGTCAAGATAGTTGAAGGCAGCCTATGTAGTAGGAGTGGACACTTTTTCCCAAAACCGGTGGAACCAAACCGAAACCATTTTGGAACCGGCCGATTCGGTCCCGGATCTTCTAAAAAATAATTTGATTTCAAGACAAATTATTAAGAACGGATCGGTTCTGGTCCAGTTGGGAACCGTGGAAACCAGATGGTTCTCATTGGATTTTTTCTTTTTTTTTTTAGAAAAAATATATGACTCAATCTCCAACACTTTTATCAAAAATAATTGTGTTCCTTCTTAATTTTAGACTCCAGTACTTTCCTTTTTCTCTTTGATTCTTTCCTTGTCTCTTCTTACAATTCTTTGATTAATTAATTATCAAGCCAAATTAGAATATTGGGTAAATCTATACCTAAATAAATTTATTTACAATATATAATTCCATTTATAAGATGCGAAATTTTTATTTTGTTTTCATTTTGTAAATATGTACCTAAATAATAGTATGTTTGGTTCTTCTATATTTTGTTAGAAGTATTACGTTGGTAGCATTTTTAGAGTTTTTATTAGTGAACATTTTATTTTGACATTTTCAATGTAAATAATCGGACTGGACCGAATCGAAACCGATTGGTTCGGTTCCATAGTTGGTTTTGGAACAAATGGTTCCATTTTTAAAATTTTCATTGGTATTCGAGTCAGTTCGGTTTCCTTTGGAACTTGACCAAATTGGACTGTGCCCAAGTTTAAGAAAAATGCCTAATTGTCTTTTCTTGGAAGAAAAGACAATTAAAATCATTGTGCATGCATCCCATATATGTTGTATTATAGTAGAACCCATACCACGTTCCCCCTTAATGCTAGGGCAAGCTTTAGGTAATTACATCCTTGTAATAGGCTTCAATAGCTTTTAACAACTTGCTCTCTAAGGGCTCACCAAAGCTTATTTCAGCCTTTTGATAGGTTTCAAAGCTTCTAATAACTCACCCTTTATGCAAGAGCCTCCCTAAAGCTTATTTTAGCCATTTGATAGGCTTCAACAACTTCTAATGACTCGCCATCTACGCAAGGACCTTATCAAAGCTTATTTCAGTTTTATATTCAATATTTCTTAAATTCATGAATTATATGAACAACTATGCTTGGACTTGGAGAACTATTAAGCTATGGCACAAATGTGTCCCTCCTTTAAATGATCTATAAACGTAAAGTATGATATGTTCTTTAAACTTAGTCGGTACATTATATGAATATC